AATATTACGAGTAAATTTTGCTCGAATGCATAATTAATCTTTCAGAAATTTGTATGATACGCAGAAGGAAAATTCTGATAGATTTGGTTCTTTATGAATAGAAAGACAAAAGGATTTCCCAAATGATTTAGAGCAAGTAGGTATCCATAATCGTGGCAGATAAGTAGATAGGTAGGTAGGTAGGTACAAAGCAGAAGTTTGAAGGTAAAGCTTACCGATGCACTTTCCTTTTTCTGTTTTGTTCAGATTTTCTCGTCTTTGAAGATCCCTCTGTTGAAAGAGAAATTAGAGGGAGAGAAATAGATAAATAAATAGGTAGATACATAGCTGGATACATAGATAGATAGATAGATAGTTAGTTAGATAGATAGATAGATAGATAGATAAATAGATAGTTAGATTGAAAAAGAGAGAGAGGGAAAGAGAACGTTTTCGGCTTTTGAATTCGTGCAAACAGCAGAGAAGATAATTATAGAACGTTAGAAGCCCACTCACTCGCTAACACACAAACGTTCACACACAAAGAAGCAGAGAGAGAGAGAGAGAACATGTATAGTAAGCGTTGTAAACACGTTAGGTATGTCCAGCATTGTTATAACCCGTCAGACGTTCAAACCTGCCCTTGTTAAAGCGTTAGATTGTTAGATCGTTAACAATTGACATGATGCGTTTGCCTCATGTAGAAGCACCATGACCACGACCCAAACTAATCTCACTAATCTCGTTAAATTCATCCAATTCTCGATAAAAAATAAATATCTATTTGATTGATTATTTTGATAGAAATTCTAATATGAATATATGTATGTATGTATTTATATAAAACAATATTTAATAATAATTATTTACGTGGAATAATGTTTTAGTTTATTTGAAAAAAGAAAAAATACATGTTTCATAATTGATACTCGTGAGACTAATTAATATATTATTAAAGGAAATAACTGAATGCATGTGGGTAATATTCCATTTAAAAATGTTATCTTTTTTCTACTTGAGCATCGATAATTATCAATTTTAGTACAATGAGTCATAAACTGGCACACACGCCCACGATCACATGCACATAACAAATATTTGTATAATTTTTTAAACTATTTTGAGATTGTAAAAAGATTATCTCTCTCTTTCTCTTGCAATATTGATAAAACGTATAAAACGAGTAAAAAACTTTATTTATGAGAAAAAACGAAGTAATAATTTTTTATATATAATTTATTTTTAACTTTTGAGAGATAATTTATTAACATTTTCACATGTCTGTTAAAATAGTTCTTTGTGCTGAGGTCTAGAAAATGAAATTTAATTTAATTTGAAAAAGTATTCTTACATTTCTACGAATCACACATACATGCGCATACACATTCACGAATTATATGTACTTAAAACTAGATGAGAAGAGAAGTAAAAGAAGGAAAAGTTAAACTTTCTAGAAAACGAAGGAAGAGTTAGTAGGTGAAAACGTATTGCCGGATCTTTGGTTTCTAGCATTTTCCAATTATCTTCTTGTCTACAAGAAAGACATAACAAGAAAAATAGAGAGAGAGAGAGAGAGAGAGGGAAGGAGAAAGAGAAAGATCGTTAAGAACACATTTGAGATGTCCGATAAAAAAGTACTCGAAGAAGTGTAATTCTAAAACTATTTACGAGAACAATATACTTCTTGCGAAAATGACGAAATATTCAAAAAGATCTGTATTCCCTTTTGTATTTTTTAATAAACAATAACAAGTCAATATTTTTGCATTGGCATCTTTTTTATATAATAAAAACCATTTTTTTCGATTATTCATTTGAAAAAATACAAGAACAAAATTATATTAATTATATTTATTTTAATATATATATATATATATATATAAATATATTTAAAACTGAATAGTGATTAAGCAGTTAAGTAGTGATTCTCAGATCACAAAATCTGTATTGCGTAAAATAATAAAAATCCTATTTCTCATAACACAAACGTGGTGCCACCGGCGCCTGACCAATAATTTCCGCATGACACCAACGTTGTGCTACCAAATTTTTTTGTTTGCCCTTTGGTTTGTAATCGAAAGTTAGAACATCGATAACAAATTTAGCAACGTYGCGTCRTMATCGTTGATGCTTGAGATTTTTCGATTTTACGAGAAAGGAAGCCAATCAACGTCTCCCATGCCAATTTTTCATGACCGGATGTAATCGGTGGTCAGACGCGTACGTCCAATGATTTTCTCCTTTTTTTTTTATCTTTTCCCACTCACTACGATATCTGGCAACAAACGCGAAAGGGGTTGAAGAAGAGTAGGAGGTGTTGGGAAAAGAGGAAGAGGGTGTAAAGAGGTGGTAGATAGAGAGGAAAGGGAAAAGGGAAACAAGCGTTCAAAAGATATTCAGAGAGAGATATCAGTAAACATGAAAGTTTGATGATGAATATCTTTTGAACGCTTAATTTAATCGCCAAAACATAAAACACCATTTTTATAGAGCAGTTAATTATCTACAAAAATTTGTATTGCGCATCTCATAATAGTCATTTATTGTCGAGTTATAAAATTCATAAACAAAAATGAAATTTGTCTAAAAATCATCAAATTTAAATCTTCAATATCATACAAATGGTGAGGTTTACAGAAAAAATATAAGATACCTTTTTTGTAGAACATTAAATTTCCTACAAAATTCTTCGAGAACATTTTTCTGTACAATTAATTAATGATGAGGTATGAATTTTATTCTATTGGACTGAGAAAAAAATAAAAAACTGCGATGCGGAGGATCTTCCTATTAAAATTAAGAGCTCATATTTGGTGAGAATTTCTTTAAGGTGGCTAGCAACCCATTTTTCCGTGGTACTTGTAAAAAAAAAAAATTGATTTTTTTGACCCACCCTAATATATATATTTATTGTTATATATATATATTATTTTATTTATATTATTGATATTATATTTATTATCTTATTATTTAACATTAAAATTATTTTATTTAATATCTACAAGTTCAAAATTTTCTGAGTTGGTCAAAAATCCTTAGAGCGATATAAAAATTAAATGACTTTGTTTCTTTTTTTCTACGAAACTTCTGCGAAAGCTACGACGAAGGATAATTGATATTTAAAATCATCCGTTAGAATTTTATGATGTGTACTATTGTTTTTCTCTTTCAAAAATTCTTTGGATTTTGTATTTCTGGACAAAAAGTTCGTATGCGCGTATGAAAGCACGATTCTTCCATTTTCTCTATCAAACTTTGCTCGGACCTTCGATTTCGTCAACTTTTCCTATTCTCGACATTCTCGTAGAATAAATCTGGGATGAATTTCGTGAATGCTTTATGAACCAAAATTCAACTCGAATGTATCTCTTTCTCTTTCTCTTTCTCTTTTTCTTTCTCTCTTTCTCTCTTTCTCTCTTTCTCTCTCTTTAGTAATATAAGTAAATAATTAGGTTCTCCGTTTTCCTTAGACTTCAATCTTGCTATTTATAATGAATGTTTCTTTGTTGTAATATTTCTTTGATAAAACTCTTTCAAGAAAACAGTTTTCAAACGAAAAGTATCATAGTCTGGTTTGTCTCTCTCTCTCTCTCTCTCTCTCTCTCTCTTTCTCGTTCTAAATTCGAAAGTATAACTTCGATAAATATTGTATTCTCACCAGAGTGATAAAATTTTCCATAGCTGCCAAAATGTAAAACATTAAATAACTATATATATATATATATATATATATATATATATATTTAACCAAGAAGCATAGTTTTCGTACGCTAACTAACAAACAAATTGTCATTTTATATTCGCGAATATAAATGTGATAAATAATAAATTTTTATACAAAAATAATGGAATTTTCATTGGTATTTAAATATTAATATTTCAATTGTTATATTCCACTGAATAGAACTGTAATAAATAAATGAATTTTTATACAAGAAAGATATCATTTTCATTATTAGCTAAAATATTGATATTTAAAGTGTCATTATTTTATATATAAATAATATAAATTATAATAAATATAATAAACTCATTTTATTCCTAGAAATAATTTAATTCTCATTGTTGCTGAAATATTGAATTATAAATTCAATATAATATTCAAGAGAATATAACTTTAATGAACAAATTAATTTTTTAGTAAAATAATAGATAAATATGATTTTTAGCGTTATTAAAATATCGAAAATAAAATTGATACAGTAAGAAGGATCATAATAATTGATTCATAATAACACACGTTTTCTACTTTTATTCTTTCATTTTTTTTTTTTTTCATTTTGAAATGAAAAGTATTGAAATGGAGTTTGTGTTTTCGCAAGGGATCGACTAGGATTATTCGAATGGACCCCTACCTATTCACAGTGACTACCATTGAAAACCGGATTTGTGGTTTGATAATCCTCTCAAAGTAATAATGACACATTTATAAATCTACTCTAGTCAAATCGTTGAAGCATATAACGTTAATTATAAAAGCCACAAATCAAACGATTATATTGTCACTACGCACATCGTCATTCTACTACCATAACCATTACTATTCACAAAGATAATATTAGCATCTTCTGATGTTCCGATCCATCATAGGCATATCATTCATTTTAATCCATCTTCTTCGCATATTATAGACATAGGTACTATGCCTTTTTTTGTTTTAATTAACTATTTAATATATATGCGCAATATAATAGATAATATGGTTATTTGTATAACATGATAAATCGTAAAATAAATTATCAACATTTCGTGAATTATTGTACCGTCATAATTATTGAAGCAAACGTTTAATAAAACTGTAGTAATAATATAATCATTTTAACGACAGATATTATATTTATTTTATTTCTTTTTTTTTTGTATTAAATTATTATAGAATTTAAAAAATATATTAATTCTAATTATTATTCACAATTAAAAGACATAAAATTATTACAAAGAAGAAAGAGAAAGATTAATGAACTAGCTAACAATGTTTACTTTTCTCTGATTTAACCAATTCCATGAATTTATTGTTACAGTTGGACAGGTTCAAAGAACCACCAGCGTTCGGTCCAATGTGCGATCTGTTATGGTCAGATCCATTAGAAGACTTTGGCAACGAGAAGAATGCGGAGCACTTCTCTCACAATAGCGTCAGAGGTTGTTCATACTTTTACAGGTAAGAATATAAGTTATTATATATATATACAATTTCGAAAGAATTTTCTACAATTTCATGCGAACAAAATCAATATTATAGATAAAGACAAAAAATTCGCAATTTTCTCTTTTCATTCTTTTCTAACATTTTATCTATCTCAAATAAATTATTATCTTTTATCGATATATTTGATTTCTTTTGTTCAAACTTCCATAACGATTTTTCTAATAAATAAATATGGGTTTTCTCTTTTTCCTTTTCTTTTACACTAAGATTATTATTATTATTTTCTTCGAACTTTCATTCGAAAAATTTTCCTTCATCAAATAAAAATCTTTACTTTTCTTTTTTTTCCTTTATTGGTTTAATTTACTTCTTACCAATTTTTCTCACATTCCGTTCCAGTATTATATCCATTAAAACATATTATTCATTTTTATGGATAGATTCGATTCTTTCGCTTGAAATTCCACAAAGACGGTATTTTGCAAACGTAAATTTTTTTTTGTTTTTACCGTTTGCTTGAAAAATTTCATAAATGACTCATTTTTTGTTCTCGAGAAAAGTCTCTTTTTTTTTCTTTTCTCCACAATGTTCATTCTCTTTTCTAATTCTCTTTGACATCCACGTTTTTCGTGGCAACCCCCATCAAGAGACTAATTACCACGTCGTTTGTCTCGCATACCCAAGCAAAAACAAAGTCCTTACGAGCTAACTTTGGTTAAACTTATGCTCGGATACTCTCACTCTACCACTCTTTTTCTCTTTTCTTTTTTTATCTCTTTCTTTACATACATTTTTGCTTGGTAAAGATCGGAATTTTCATTTGTCTTCTTCATTTCTATCTGACATGTCAAATTTTCCTTATCCGTAAAAAGTAATAACGATTTCATATCTTAGAAAATCTTGATTTAATAATTAGTTTGATATTATGCTAATAAGAAAAAATTATCATCGTAATAGCATTCATGTTTTCAACGTTCAATAATAAACATTCAATTAATTTACAATATATTGATATATTCGATCATTCGTATTATCGACTTTCATCATTTTTGTGTTAACCTCGAATGTTTCTAATATACCGAAAAGAATTCTTATTCTTATCAATAGAATAAGTTCAAACTTATTTGTAGATTATTTTAAAAATTGATTACCTCTTACCAAGACTTTTTTAAAGATAATTTTGTGTTAATAAATAAAATGAGCTTGACAAACAATAAGAAAAATGTTTTGCTTTTAACAAAAAATGCGATGAAAATTGTCTTTTTATTATAAAGCATCTGCAACATATCAAGGTTAAGATGTAGGGATACCTGTGGAGACAATTTGTCTCAGGGAGGGGGGGGGAGAAGAAAAAAAAGAAAAGCTAAAAAGGAAAAACTTGCAGCATCCCTCAGGAAGGAAGAGTTTCCATTAAACTTGCTCTCGACGGAACGCAAACAAGCGTCCCGTTGTTTTATCGCGGGTTGTTTTATTGTTAAGCACGTCATTAATCCACGTCCGAAGAAGGGTGTATATACAGGAGTATATGTATCCTATATATATACACATTTCTCTAATGGTCGGTAAAACGAGCTTGCTTTACGTCGACTCGGATATTTCGCACGCTTCTTTCCTGGGTTAAACAAAATCGTACAAAAAAGCCACTCGTCCGCCACTCTGGCGACTAAATATATATATACCTAATCGATTTTGATAATTTAATAAAAATTTCTTTAAGGATCGATTAAACATAAAACAATAAAAAAAATAAATTATAAAAATAGAAGAAAAATATTATTAAAAGTCAGTATACGCGATTCCTACCTTACCGACAGACATACGAAAAAATTCTGTACAAAAACAAAAGTAGATATTGCTAAGAAAATATTTAAATAATTACCGATAGTCTTTAATTTTGCGATATAAACGTTAAGAGAATATATAGTGAAATTGTTTTATGCTTAAACACATATACACTATGTATACTTAACAGTCATGCACGTTTACGCACATATTTATTGTATGCATGTAAGGGTTCCCTGCCGAAATAATTTGCATGGCGTGTTCGAACTACGGCATGACATCATAACAAAATGACGTTTCCGTTTGAAAATTGCATCTCCCGCGGCAACACTTCTCTCATTGAATACAAATCGTCGGTATTTGCATTTGTAATTGATATCTCAACGATGAAGTACAAATTGAATTCGCTATTATAATTGATGCATAAATATAATATATGTAGAAGCGTAGGCGAAGAAACATATACATAACACACATATAGATATATTAGTACTAACATATATATAAAAAAAAAATCAGATAAATGACAAATTGATTCATATTATGCAGAATTTTAATAATTCCATAAAATAAAAATAAAAAAGGGCCAACTCTCAAAAAACATATTGTATACGTAATAAGTTATGAAATTATTGAAACTAAAAAGCCATAATTCTAGTATTAACATCTACAAATAAAAATTAGTCTAAAATTTTCAATAATAGTAATTATAGTACTTATTGTTATAAAAAAAACTTATTAACAAACATTGTAATGACAATAACTAACGAACTTCTATTCATCTGTTATTAGATTCGTGTTGCTATCGAGCTTTGTTTGTTTGTTTGAAAAAGTTTATTTATTTTTGAATATTTTCTGCATACATACATAAGTGATAAACGACCTTACAACAACTTAAACATTTAATACAATATATATAAAAATATAAATTTTTAGTGGTCTTCTTTTTATGAAGCTTCTCTCCAAAATACCTTTACATTTACAGTTACTAATTGTTTTTAATATTAAGCACTACGATTGCACTCAGTTGTAATATCACAGTTTAATAATGGTAAAAAAATAAAAGAAGGAAAGTAAAAATAACCATTATATCTTTGATACGCCTCTAAGTCAATAAGGTGGGGTAAATTAAGGAAAGGAGGAAAGGGAGTGGAGGGTAGAAAGAATATATTTACAATATTTACAAATAAAAACGAAGTATCACTGTGTCTAAGGCTGACTCAATAAGATGTAGACGATAAAAATAGTATTCAGTTCTTTCCTTTATATTTTATTTTGAATATGCTATGATCTTAGTAAAAGAAAAACTCCACTCAGAGATTAAGAGGAATATTCTGGGAGGGCCATAAAATCCCAAACAAACTTAAGAATTATCGAGACACTTTGGTGCGACGAAAACCTTTTGTGCAGTGTCGGACCTTTCGAGTAGTCTCGGATTCCTATTTAAACACATGCAATACCATAAAGAGAAATGATATTCTTTTATTCTAGACAAAGTTTCTTTATGCATAACTTCCACTACGATCTTTACCAAAAACATAAACTGTACCCATCAGTGGACTATGGGGGTGGATCCTTCTACTATTTATCAATAAGATTCATAATTTCCCTTTTTCTCCAAAGAGGTGTAGCCTATTTTAAATATAAATATGTGAAAGAAAGTAAGAACGCTGCTGTCTGTATATCCGCTGTCTTTATATATCTGTCTGTATTTGTCCTTAGTCTTTGATAATCAGTCTGTTATATCCGTCTGTGTTTTATCTGTTATATTAGTCATTCTGCAAATCAGTCAGTTTGTCAGTCAGTCAGTCAGTAAGTCAGTTGGTCTTATATATGTAACTCTTTTGTACTCTGTATTTTTGCAACCACGCCACTTTTTATAAACTATTGTAAATACCGCTCGACATAATAATTAAATAAACTATATTATATTTCTCTCTCTAAACTACAATATTATTATACATATAATTCATTTTTCTTTCCTGAACCCCACAAAGATAGAAACTATATATATATATAGTTAATACTATAATAAGTCTTATTATCTATTAGAATATTACATCCGCTCCTGCTGTTCTTGTTGATGGATCTTTTGTCTCTTTGTTCTAGCTTTACGTCTTATCTCATCAATATGTTTGGCATCATTTATCAGCCACCAGTATCTCACGCATAGTCTATCTGGAGAGAAATTGTTAAAACTCAGTTTATGCTTAGAGTTTAATTTAGTTTTTGAAAGCTAGGCAATATTAATATTATTTTTAATGACAAAGTCATGTAAATCGTATCTTCGTTCATTGGCATCTAGTAAAATAACACTAATAGCGCACATGGAAATAATAATCTTACAGTGTGATGACTGCGACGGTAGGTTTGCTTGAATATGAATGTTATCGGCCAGATTAATGATCGTATTGGGATAATAGGAATTTAATTTTCCTAGTATTATCTGAAATTTGACTATTTATTGTATCTAATTGGTTTTTTAGTATTTCCATGATCGAGTTTTTGAAATTGTTCAGTAACTCTTTCATAGTACTGTCTGCTTGTACGTTGTTGCTAAGATTAATAAAACTCGGAATATTTCCTGATATTGTGCTGTTGTTGAATATTTTTGATACCTTGCTATAAACATTCTGAGAAGCGAATATATTATCTACACGCAGCATATGGCGTCTCTGATCCGGTAACGGTGGAAAGTTTCTCTGCTGTCCTGAAGTAGCCTTAGCATAGGACAACTGAGGGTCCACAAGTCTCCTGAACTTCACTTTTCTAATTATTTTGACGAGCTCTCTGGTTTGGCGCCTAACATCTTGCGCCATAACCAGGTATGGGCATCCTCCATAAGAGGCGAGGTGGTCAGAACCACCATAGTTAATGCAATTAAGTTTCGTTGGGTTATCTTTTGTTACTGGACATATATTTCCTCCTTTATTGAACCGTGGTTTCCACCACACTTAACACACCTGAAATCAAGTGAGCAATTCTTACTTGCGTGTCCTATTCTGTGACATCGCATACATTGAAATACTTCTTTTTTCTTTAGCCACTCTCATCTGGCTGGCTGGTTAAAGATGTATTTCATTCTCGTGAGAGCCGCGTCGTTACTCTCCGGCGATAACTGTATAATAAAAAAAATTCTAGACTGATCTGAGTTGTTATACCGTAATTTAGTAATTTTCGTAATCTGAAAGTCGTTTTGGTTACGCCCAGCAAGGTATTCAGAGATATCC